TTTAGGTCTAGCCACGGTGGATTTTTTTTCTCCTTTTGCTTTAGTTGTGTGACGGGAGCTCAAGGCAGTTTATTATCCGCACGATCCCTTAAAGTGACACAAAAAAGTGATCCCTAAAAGCTCTCTGTAAAGAAATCTTCGCTATATACTGTGCGTGGCAAGGAGCCATCATGCGCTGTTTATCCAGCAGTGGCTGCTCTCTGGGCTTGGTATGTAGAAATACATCCCTCGTTCTGCACACACGTTCTCAAGTACAGCACACAAGCGCAGCCCCAGGCCGGGAGCCCCTCTTATCGCTCACCTTCTTGACTGAGCAATCTCCCACAGGCCAGTCTCACGCCAGCCAGTGCCTATGCATATTGGCTTTTCAGTTACTTACTTCTATTAATTTTTATTCATTATGACATTTTATATATACACAGCATTATATTATGCTCCTATTTATTTCCATCCTTCTTGTTGTCTTTCCCCAGACCTCCTTCCCCTATTGGAGGTGACTTTCCTGTGTTGTACCCCCAAATAATCCTCCCCATTTTCAGGTCACTCTTATTTCATCACCCTCGTACCCTCTTTCTTCTGTTCTCCACTTTGTTCTTTTAGACCCCTTCTCTCTTAGTCCTTGTTCTGCTTGCCCCCCCTCTCTCTACCCCTCCCCCACATCTATATTTCACATGTGAGAGAAAACATGGGATGTTTGTCTTTTGCACTCTGCCTTAACTTAAAGTAATGATCTCTATTTCCCTCCTTTTTTCTTGAAAACGCTATAGCTGCATTTTTCTTTATGGCCGAATAGCAAGCATTCCATTGTGTGTGTGTGTGTGTGTGTGTGTGTGTGTGTGTGTGCGTACAGCGCACTTGAGCTGCTGTATGGCGACTTTACCATACTTCTGACGGCGGGTGAGTAAATCTTCAGTTCCCATCACGTGGACCCGTCCCACGGTTGGATAACACCTTCCTTACAACTCTTTCTTGGTGAGTTCTGTCATTTCTCCACAGTCTTACCCAAATTGTGTATTTCAGTTTGCAGTATGAATTGTGTGTGTTTCTTGGGTTTGGTTTTGGTTTTTCAAGGCTGAGTTTCTCTGCGTAGCCCTGCCTGTCCTGGAACTCACTCTGTGTCAAAGGGAGTGTGCTGGTAATACCAGTCACCTCTTGCCCCAGTTCCGCCCTCTCCTCCCAGTCCCTGCCCAGGACTAGAAGGCAAATGAATGGCCCTGTCATTTTTGTGTCTTGTCACTAGGCGGCGCTCTTCTACCCCTCTGGTCTATCTGTACTGTGCATACACTTAACGCTACACCAGCTGTGGCCACTAAAATGCTTCTCAAAGTGAACCTGACTGGGAAGACAACGCTGCAAGCTGCCACTCTGCCTGCTAAAATGGAGAGAGCCCAGCTGAGCCAGCTGGACCTGTGGTTGTTGTCTAGCTTTGCAGAACTCTCGTCTAAGAATAGCTATGGATCTGGCCCCTCTGGGTGGCTTTCTCTGGTGCTGGGTGCGTCTCTCTCATGAAGACAGCCTTATTCTTGTCCGGTGAGAGAAATCCCTGTGCCCCTGGGTCTTGGCTCATTACTCCTAACCCTGGCTTGGTCTTTCCTGATGTCTTGTCTTGTATATTTATGGGTCAGTGAATGGGCCATGAAGTGTGTCCAGCACCCGCTTCCTGGGAGTCCTTCCATGCCTAAGCTTGCTTTCATGTGCTGGGAGTGCTCTTGTCTCTTTTGCATCTAAATACATACATAGTTTGTTGTTAGCCTCCCTCTAAGGCAGTGGTTTTCAACCTGTGGGTCGCAATGCCCTTGGGGTGGCATATCAGATGCTTGCAATATGATTCCTAACAGTAGCAAAATTGCAGTTATGATGTGGCAATGAAATAATTTTATGATTGGGGGCCACCCCAACATGAGGAACTCTGTTTAAGGGCTGAGAACCACTTAGAGTCTAAGGGGTTGTGTCCTGCCTGAGAGGATGCCTTAGTCTTCAGTGTAGGACAAAGATGACTGTCCGGCCTCAAACACAGGCAGTCCTTATTCCGGCTCCACGTATGCCAGGTGTCCTGCGTGGAAGGGATTGGCTGTGGATCTTAGTGCATTGGGGTGGGATGATCACTGTTGTATCCTAGAATGTTGTCCGATGACACATAGTAGACATTCAACAAATATTTCTTAAATGAATTAGGCTTTGCTTGAACGCCCAGGCACACCCACTTCTCTCAGCTCTTCATTTAAGTCAGACATATACAATAACAAGTGATCTGTCTGTCAGCGCTGTGAGCCGGGTTTTCTTGTCGTTGGCAGAGTATTTCAGCCTGTTTGAACTTAAAAGTAGTTATTTGTTTACTAAAGGTGATTTCATGTAGTTGGGTTAAAATATCATAGCACACATGCACAGCTATCCTTCAAGAAAGGCACTCATGATGTTGGGAATGGAGCCTGGGGGCCTCACCGACTTACACCGCTAGCCTACTTTATTATATAGTCTTATATTAGGTATATTTTATAAGAGGACACAAAGCAGTCTAAATTACTTTTAATGGTTACGCTCATAGGCCATCTTCCTGGAGGTCCTACCGAGCAATAGTAAGGGCATGGGCTTCAATCCCTTGATGTTACAAGCATGTGTATCACTTACGAAGTTCACATGAGAACTTTGGACTCAAATTACAAAGTAACAATCTCACGCTGATGTAAATTTTCATAAAAGTAGATAGATGTTTATCTAGGACAGTGGTTCTCAATCTTCCTAATGCTGCAACCCTTTAATACAGTTCCTCATGGTATGGTGACCCTCAATTGTAACATTTTTATTGCTACTTCATAACTGTAGTTTTGCTACTGTTACAAACAGTAATGCAAACGTCTGTGTTTTCCAATGGTCTTAGGTGACTCACATGAAAGGGTCATTTGGCTCCCAAAGGGGTCGCAACTGCTGATCTAGGACCAAAGGGGTAGTGACTCAGGTTCAGGTTCACAGGAATAGAGTTTCTTTGGGAGCAATGAAAATGTTCTAGAATGTGATTGTCGTGATGGTCATATAACTGTGAATATACTATGAACCCCTGAATAAGAACTTTAGATAGGTGGATTGTATGGGATGTGAAGGGTGTCTCAATACAGCTGTTATTTTAAATGGACAAAGGCATTTGGACATCCAAATCTGCTTTTTTTCCCCCCGGCATGCAGAATGGCTTTGGCTGGGCCATGCAGTGGTTAAGAACTCCTCCTTCTCTCGCTACCTGGGCTCCCGTCTTAGCATCTATGGCGCCTGCTGCACAAAGGCTTCCCTCTCCCCAGGGATGCACCCAACAGTGTTGAGCTGTGTGGAAGCGGGTGCTGTGTGAGTAAGAAATGGGAACAGTGATGGGCTGGGAGGCTGCTGTCCAAAGCCCCTGTCCCAAAGCCAGGAATAGCAAAGCTTTGCCAGGTTGGGAGTCACTACTTTAGGTTTTTTGAGGAGTTTGCAGCCAAATTGGCATCAAGATTCCCAAGCTGCCCTGAGAAGCCAAGTAAACAAGCCACAAGTCACTGTTGTCTGTTACATAAGAACGGGAGCCCTCTGGGAGAGACGACAGCTGATTCAGACACTTGAGTGTATTTGAAAGAATGAAGAGCTTGGGATGTCATAAGGAAAAAGCGCTGGTTCTGGGGACTCCTATGCACCCTGGTCACGCAGCACCACAGGCTGCTTCTCTCTTGTTGCCCCCAGGCATCATTAATTTCATTAATTTGTGTTACTACTAGTGCAATTAAACAAGAATAGGATCAGGTGGGAGTGTGTCTGACTTATTTCCAAACTTTCAAAATTATTTTTTTATGTTTCTCTGATCTGGGACCCTTAGGTCACAACTTCCCCCATGAGGCACCTATAAAATAGAACATTTACAGTGGAGTCAGTGCCAAGAATATGATAAAGCATGTGATGTGCTCGGCCCAGGGAGCGCATGGGTGCTGCGCAGCCTGAGAGTTACCCTTAGTCACTGACCATGTTAGGGAAGCCCAGAAGCCTCCAATCTTGCCACTTCATGGCTCAGACTTTTACCTATGTGTTTGCTGATGGCAGCAATTCCAGGTATTGGTGTTTGGATTCCTGCTATGCTGGCTCACTCGTGTGACCTAGGACTTGTTCCCGCTCCCCTTATTCCTTACTTTATTCACCGCAACAACGGAGTCGCTCAAGTTAGAAGTCATATAGACCTGCGCCGCAGAGCTGCTATGATCTAGTGAGCTAATCTGTGTCAGTTGATTAGAAAAGGGCCCAGTGCCTTGAAGTGTACATTCTCCTGCAGGAAACAAAAGGATGGGGATACAGGTGGCTGGGGAGGGTCCTGCCGCATGGCTATAATGACTGACAATTGGGGGAGAGGCTGAAAACAAGGCCTGGGAATTTCCTCCAAGCAGGAAAATGTGTCACCAGACAGGAATTATTCAGATAAACCTTCCAAGATAATAGCGATTCTGTTGCACAATTTCCCATCCCCCCACTCCTGCTTTGTCGGGAAACTGTTTGATCTGACACAGGTGCTCTTTATCAGGGTGCTGAAGATGGAAGCCCGGTAGAAACTCGAGACTGAATTATGTGACAAGCAGCACATCAGCTATCCGGCTTCCTAGAGGGATTCTTTTGGTTTTATTCCTAATATCTAAAGACTTCTGGGGTGTGGGCCATTTATCATTTACGGAAACCAACAAAATCCAGCAACGCGGTAATGATGAAAATTAAACCTCCTGTCCTTTTCAGCTGAGCTTTTGGGGGGAGCCGTAACCTTGTAAAAAATAATGCTTCGCACACTGTCCTGTCTCTGTGGGTATGGCAACGGTAGTTGTGTTTTGAGCCTGAAAGATACAGCCTGCCTCCCACGCCTGTGATGGTCTCACTGGCTCCCTAATCCCCTAGCTGAAAAGGCGAGGGCTGGCCACGGTCCACCAGGCTCCAACCAAGTTGCTCCACTCGGGATACGCTACCTGCCCTTGTAGCACACAACAATCCATGACCCACCTACTCACCCATCTCCTGGCTCCTGCGGCCCATGGATTGGGGTCTGGGGCTGCTGGTTACAGATGCTGTGAACGGCTTTGATGTGACTCTGTAGACAGCCTCAGCTACCGAGATGCCTAGAGTCTGTGTCAGGGTGACAGGCTGTGTGGTTGTCCCTGTAACAGACGGGTTCTCATAGGCTTTTGTGGCCTCACCTGTAAGAAAACAGAATTGCATTGGTGCCTACAATATAGCCTGTAGGATTGAGAAGCCTGTAGGATTTAGGACCAGAAGTCAAATAAATGTTTACTGAACACCACTGGCTTTCAGAAGAGACCTGTACTAGTTATACTGGAAGGTGGGATCTGGAGCATTTTCAGAGCCAACAAGCAACCAAATATTAAACAACGCACTTGAGTGACACTTCAAAACCATAGCGACAGAGGAAAGGCAGAACAAGATTAGTTGCTAAGTTACTTTGCCAGGCACCCTAAGGAGAGGTTTGTCTTGGTTCTTTCTTCTTCCTAACCTCCATTTCTCTTTCTCCCTTCTTCCCTTTCTATGGCTTTGCCATCTCCATTGCAATTGGCCTATGGATACATGGTACTTCCAGGGCCTCCACTATGGCTCACTCTTAGGGAACGCATTTCCGTTTGAGGTGGTTCACAACCAGTCAGCTGACTCCACTTGGCCCCAGACGTCTTACCAAAAACTGGGATAATGGAGCTAAGTAAATAGCAGGGGTCATGTGAAGATTCTGGTTGCTTCATGTGTTTTCATCCTTTGACAGTTTCTTATGTGTATTTACTGACTTTGGGACATTTCCATTTCCCGTTACTGTCTCCCATCACCCCTAACCCCTTTCTTCCCAACAAGGTCCCTCCAACTTGATGTTCTGCATTTGTTTCACTGAGTTTAATTTGGGTTGCATGCATGAGTAGGAGTCAAGGTCATTCCTTTAAGATTTTATATTTTATATTTTATATGTGTGTCTATGCATTTGGGTGTAGCATCAGTGAAGCTCACCAGAGGAGTCAGATCCCTTTGAGCTGGAGTTATAGGTAGTAATGAGTTGCCCTACATGGGTGCTTGGAATTGAACCAGTCCTCTGCAAAAGCCTAAGCTTTTAACCACTGAGCTGTTTCTCAAGCCCGAGTGTAAAGTCATTTCCAGGAGCATGGAGAGCTGATACAAGGTTCCAATTGCTTCTTACAAAGCAAGTCTAAGTTTGTTAAAGCTCCAATTGCTCAGAATATCAATGAAAGTTAAGGGAAAGGAGACTACTCCACACAAGTTGGGGATGATCTTGGGAACCTTGGGCCATGGCTGTAGAGAGACCTAACAGCCCCCCACCCTCACCCAGCCCCATTACCGGCCCCTCAGCTCTGGGTCTATTGCCTTTGGCTACTGGGCACCCATTGGAGTATTAATTCTCTAACTGGGAATCTTGTGTTCTGGTGTTACCATTATACATACTCTAAACTTAGTGTCTTAAAGCAACAGAGATTCCTTTGCTTATGGTTCTAGAGGCCAGGATTTCAAAACAAGGACTCTCGAGTCAGATTTAAGGGGTCAGCAGCACCGAGCCTCCTCAAGGAAGCCCAAGGGTTGAATGTGTTTCTCGCATCAGTCAAGTTCATCTGGATTGGTCTGTGGCTCTCTAAAGTTAGCATCTTTGTTTGGTTTCTCTGCCCTGTCTTTATATAACCTCCTTTCCTCAGAGGTGACGTAATTTTCCTCTGCTTTCTCTTTGTGGAGATGTATGTGGTTGTATTTCGGGCCTGCACAGACAATCCATGATAATTATCCAGTGTTAAGACCCTTAACCATACTGGCAAAAAGTGCTCCTCTCCCTATAAGGGCGCACTTGGCTTACAGTGATTGGGATATTTAGTATCTTTTTGAGGGGGAGCTTTTCAGCCCACCATAGAACCCTGGCTCCAGTATTCACCGTGATTGGGGTTGATGCATTTAGGCACCTGGAAAAGCAGACCAAGTGGCTAACACCTGAGGTTAAAAGATGCCTCTTCCTCTTCCCAACTTGCTCTATGATATGGTAGAGCACTGTGCATGTATGGCATCCTAGGAGAACAGTGTTAGAGCTATAGGCCCTGCAGACCAACATTTGGTGGGTGTTCAGACACACTGTTCTACACTGGCACCTTCCCTTACACATCCTGACACTGCCACCTTCCGGGGTGAATCACACCACTAATTTGGGAGGGTGAACCAGACAAAAACCAAATCCAGCCCCGGGGTTTGATCCAGCCATCCCATCTGCTCTTGTGGGCGGGTGGCAGATTTCTCATTTTCATTAACCCTGTTGCTTGCCAACAGTTAGCCATCTTTAAATTAGGCAGAAGACCAGGCCAGACAATCGTTAAAGAGGCATGATGCCTTCCGGGTTTCAGCCGGCATCTGCACCATCCGGGGGCAAAGCCAAACCTGCCCAATGTATGACATTTTCTTTACTTTAAAGGGCAGCCATTCATGATAAGTCCTAGAGGAGTGTTTCATTTCTCAAGAGGGATCCTCTGCCTCATGCTGTTGCTAGAAGGCTTTGGTGCCTCTTGAGGGAGGTGTGGGCCCAGGATGGCTTTGTTTCATTTAGGGAGGGCACTGAGTAGAACTGCTTCTCATTTCAATGAACAGGATCAGGATCCAATGATTCATGTCAAAAGACATATATAAATAATCAGGCAGCATATATATTTTCCCTCCCAAGTAAATTAATTCAGCCATAATGCAGCAAATAAAGCTTTGGCTAGAACATCTTCCCATCATAGGCTTATTATAGTTTGAAAATCACAATTATCCCTTCCAGTTGGCCAGATCCTAGGCTCCCGATTACCCCAGCTATCTCTGTGAATATTCCTTTTCAAGAGAGCTAGAGATTAAACGACATGAGTGCAGTCAGTGGGTTGCTTGACAGGACCCATCTGCTTTCAAACACTTGATCAATTTACCCAAGAGTAAAAAAAAAAAAATACTCTCGTCCTATGTGGACCGCGTTTTGCTTATTCCCTGTCGCAGCTTAGAACCATCTTTACCATGGAGGAAGAGGATGTCACTCTTCCGGCCCTAACTTCTCCCAGGTCCTTACTGAATATTACACTCTGGGTTCATTTTGAACAACTGGACACAACACCCAGCCAGTTTCAGTGACAGTGTTGTCAGACAGATGGAAGTGTAGTCTCCTTCCAAAGGGTCTCACAGTCTCTAGGTATGGCCACCTTCTCCACAGCTGCAGACAGAGCCCCAGAGCCCCCTGCACCTGGCAGGTCAATGGAGTTGAGCAGAGGGAGGGTTAAAGATGCCGCCAACCAGAACTGTTCCCTGAGAGGCTGATTCACCAGATCTCAGATGGGCCATGGAACTTTGATATAAGAACTGCAGCCCAGGCCAGATTGGGCTCCTAGCCCCACTGTGGCCAGCTTTGCTTCTGAAGCTATCCGAACCTGTCCTTTATGTGTGGGGCCTGTCATGCCTACTTGGCAGGGCTCCTGCCATAATTCGGGTGAAGTGTATAAGTCACCCATACAGAGCTTGGCACATGTAGGATCCAATAAATGGTAGGAGCTGGCATTTCATACTACCTTATGCTTCCCTCTGCAGGGGACAGCACTGCGCCTTGGGGGCCACGATGGGGACAGAAGCCAAGATGCCTACAGGTCTGAGTGCTGGGGGAAGATTTGGTTTTCTCACCACTAACTCATTCTGAACTTCGGGGCTGCACACCAGGGCAGGAGATCTAAGACCCACTGGGCAACCACTAGCTGTTGGCACCTTGGAGGGTTTTTCCATAAGCATTCCCAGTGAAGAGGAGAGTTCCGGTTTACAGGCACGCGTGAGGGCAGAGGCAAGGTTAGAACTCAAGTGTGGTTGAACCTAAACTCATGCTCTTTGTCCACTAACAGGGAATGAAGTAGAAGACTGGCCTTGGTCACCAAAGCTTACTGTCAGCGGTGACAACAGGTGACAACAGGGTGGGTACAGTCGTGAGGTCAGGGGATGCCTGGGAGGTGATGTCATAAAGCTTAGGGCCTTTTTCCAAGGCAGGGCTAAGTCACAGCCAAGGGGAGGCGGGAGAGTGGTGTCCTGTCCCTCTTTCTCAGTAACAGATTTCCTCAGCCTTCTTCCGCCATGACACCAAGAATGTGCCTCCCCAGTGTTTTTGATGCATTTCTACAAATCAACACTTATGTGTTTTGATTTAGCCCAGAGCAAGAGGAGGTGGCAGGCTGCCCACTTTAGGGTGGCTAACTGCCTGAGAGAGGCAGCCTTTACATTGCCAGGGAATATCTGTCCCTAGTGGGAGCCCTGCAAGGCAAATCAGATACCTTCCCGGATGCAAGTGAGGTAACTGCCACTGAAGATGATGGCTATGCTTCGGGGGTCATCCTAGCCCGACTAACCTATTAACTCATTCTTTTAAGAGCCCAGTAAGCATTTTATGCAGCGTGCGGAGACCTGAGCCATAGTTAACCCTGCATCTACCTCTTTTCTGCTTTGTCCAGTTTCTGAAGGAATTTGGTCACGTAGGAAGAGTAGCAATGAGGCCGCTCTTTCATGATCATCACTGCGATTACTTTTTAATTAGTAAGAACTCACTCCATGCAGGCATGCCCTTTCAAAGAGACAGAGCGAGACCCCAAGCATCCCTTTGATACTGGCACATTCGTCATTGACCCAGGAGGCACTCAGTGGTGAGGGAAGAAATGCAACTCTTTGAGATGCTGTTAAGCGTGGACAATCTGGAAATGAGGGGCAGATAATAACATCTGCTGATATGCCACAGAAGCTTGAGGTGATGTGCTAATGGGCACAAGTGTCATCCGCGATGGTTGTGCTTTAATGGTGGGACTCCTGGGTACTCTACAGATTTAAATAGAAGTAGGAGGGGACATCCCACGGCCCACTTGCACTACTTCAACCCACCATGAAGGCATAAAGGCAAGTGTGTGGTGGGTGGGGACAGTTCAGTGTGGCTTTCGCTGGTGTAGCTAAGGGGAGCTTTTGACAGACCCCTGCTGCCTGGGGCTTTGAGCACTAATGGATTCCTAAATTCCAAGGCAGTGTCTCTTACCTGACCCTTCTTTCTGCTCTCTGCCCACAACTGTTTCCTGCTTTAGAATGACACCGTCAACCACTAAGGAACCAGTTACTATCACAGCCTTGGGGAAATTGCTAAACCCTTCTTTGGTCAACTTTATCTGAAGACGGGGAAGATAGGGGCGCTCTCTGACTCAGGCTGTTGTAACCCAGGGCTCTGGCTCAGAGAGAGGACTTGGCTGTTAGCTGTGATCACCAGATGGCTGTGCAGGGTCCCTTCCCGTTTTTCAGGTTATGACTGAGGGTTGAGGCCAGAAGGACCTGAATACTCCTTTCTATAACAAAATATTTGTCCCTGAGCTTCTCACACCTGTGACCATTCCAGGTTAATCTGCGTGGCCACTAGACCCAAGTCTCCCTGAGCAGTGAGGGAGGGCAAGAACCAACAAAAGGGAGGGGCCGGAAGCCACGCTGTGCACTGTGCGAGGGGTCTTCAGGTGAGAGTTCCTTCCTTCCCTCCTGCTGCCTTTCCAAGCCTAAAGAAGAAGCTGCCAGTGGATGCAGCTTCTCCACATCCTGCCAGTCTTTCTGAGGCAGAGTCTTCACACGCACACCCTGGATCCCCTGAAGAGTTTTGCAGACACTAGGGGAGTATTCTGGGAGGCTAGAAGCACAGAGTTAAGGAGAAAAGGTCTTGGCATTTGTACTGCACATAGTCCAGGCATTACTTGGCACTGGCAACGCTCTCTACCCTTGAGATTTCTAAGGTTATCAGTGCCATTAGCACATCCCTGGCCAAAGGCCCTCAACAGCTCCAGACCGAATGAGAAGGGAAAGGAAGGTGACCTCACTTCAGAGCAACTCAGGCCCCAGGGCAGTCTACAGAGAAGCCCAGAGTTCTGAGCATAGGGGCTGCTGGTTCCTGAGATGGTATGTTAGGGATGGAGGAAAAGAGTAGGGACCGGACAAGAGCAGACTAGATAAAACAGAACCCAGTTCTGCACACTTCACCTCTGTGGAAATCACCAGACTGCAGAGGCTGCAGACCCAGATGAAACAGAAGCTATGAGGAGGCCTCCCGTCACTCTCCTTCCCTTGTCCCCACCAGAGGAAGAGAGGACACATCTCAGATCCAGCCCTTGAGGTATCACCCCACTGTGGTGAACAGGGATGGCTGTGTTCTTGCGACTCAAATGCCTCTTGATTGCTTCAGTGATTAAAAGATCACGGAAAGTATAGGAGAGGCGGATGAAAGGCAGGCAACTCCCAATGTGTCTGTGAAGGCTCCTCAGACCAGGAATCTGTACCCGTGGACAAGATCTAGCACAGTGATTGAGGGAGAAGTGTTTGGAGCCAGGCTGTCTGAGAGTTTGACTCCCAACTTTGCTAATTTCTTGCTGTTGGTCAATGAAAATCTACCCAGCTTTTCCGAGCTGGTGTTTTCTGCAAACTGCGCATTAGGGCTAAGAACAGGGCATATTGGTAGCCACGCGGGCTGACTAAAAACTACCAGGGAAAGGTCTTGTCACAGTGCCTTGCACACAGCAAATATTCAAGAAATGCTAGCTCTTAAAATTCCAGAGCCATGTCCTCCCTACATCCACCAGTAGACTGAGCCAGATCCATCCACCCGCCTTCTTTCTGGAATGCCAGATCCTGTGAGAAAGCCCCTGCCTAAGTGAGAAGTCCAAGCGCCTCCCACGCCAGCGCCACAGAGGGCACAGGTCTGATTTAGTGCAGAAATCGGGGAAAGGGATTCCTTAGTTTCTGCCATTCCTGGCTCAGGAGAGCCCGGCAGAAGTGCCCTGTGTCCTGATTCAGATCCAAAGCTTGTTTGCTAGCTGCTAGTGAGTGGGTCCCATCATTCTCGCTCCTTCCCTTTGCTTTATAGCCAAGCAGAGGCAGCCTCTTCCCTTTTAGTTGCCAGGAAACATCTCTAGGCATAAGTTCATATCACCATCTAAAGTAACAGTGATGACATCCAGGACAGTCATTCTGAATGAAAGTGACACAGGCAAAGAGACACGCTCCAGTCGTGAAAATAACAAAAACCCCTCACTCCCAAACCACAGCTCTCTGGTCCCATTGGTTTTGGTGCCAGGTTCCTGGCATTGGTGGAAGCATCTCTGGGGTCAGCGGGGCTTGACCGGGTAAGTTGGTAATTCCCACACCATCTCCTAAAGCACACCATGGCCCGTTCATGCACTCACGCAGCGTGGATGAAACAACACGTGACCACTTGCCTGCTTTGCCAGCTGGCGTTTTGGATGACGAGTATGTAAGAGTCGACGGGTAGGTTACACCCTTTTGGGGTTTACTCTCTGCAAAAGAAAAGAAAGAGAAATTTATTTCCGGGGCTGATTTCTAGATCTCTCCGTGCCGATAAATGGATTATCTCTTTCCAATTTGTCTCTCTTGAGCTCAGCAGCATCTGTCACCCTTACACCGAGTTGTTGATTCCAAAAGGAAAGTCAAGTGGCATTTTGTTTTCCCACTGAGCGTTTGTTTTATTAATAACAGAATGGAAGTCATAAAATCTCCATGACTCAGAGCTGCTTAACATTAGCAATTTCTTATTTTGCTCCCGAAGATGTGACATGTAAGCTAACACGATTTCATCCACGGGGCTTTGGTTGTTCAATTGCAACAAGAGACGGATGCAAAACATTCCACACAGTCTTCTTTCAGGTCTGGGACGGGCCCTCTGTGGATGGTCGCCTCTCGCCTTCACAGACCCGGGGGACCCATTGAATTCCCGGGCATCGCGGACACCCGAGAGCAGCTGTATATGAGCCCTCCTTGACAACAACCATTGGTGGCCACTTGGGGAGAGACGTCAGGTACAGAGAAAGGAGAAAGAGCAGTCGTGTCTGACAAGGACACAGTAGAAGCAGGAAAGGGAAGACACCGGGCCATCAGAGCTGGACCAGCAATGATCTGGTAGAGAAGTAAGCCATCATCAAGCCTGGGACGACTGAATGGGCCCCGAAGCCTATTTCCTGTGGAGCCATCTCATTTCCAAGAGATGCCGGACAGTGGGCTCTGTTCTACAATTAAATGGAAAGTTCCAACGGAATTCACACAGTCTCCCCCCCACCCCCCTTACAGGTTCAATTGTCTCCGCGTAGCGGTTAAGGTCCCAGGCCATAAGCAGTGTGTCGTGTAGTTATAACATGAGGAAATACCTTTGAAGATTTATTTTATGTGTGTGTGTGTGTGTGTGTGTGTGTGTGTGTGCGTGCACATGTGCGTGTGCATGCTGAGGCCTGTAAAAGCTTTTGGATCTCCTGTAGCCATCATAGGCATTTATGAGGCCTTCTGTGTAGGTGTGGGGAACCCAATGCCAGTTCTTTGCAAGAGCATTAAGGGCTCTTAACCACTGATTCGTTTTTCTAGCCAAGTGCAGGAATATCTTAATGTTTAGGGCCTTGCTGCCTATCATTGTCTTCAGTGGGGGTTGGGGTTGGGCACTTGCTATCATATTTATATGAAAGCATTAATCTCTCAATGGTAAGGGGCGGTGTCACTATGGGGATTAGAGTGAAGTAGGTCAGAACACGGCCCGGGAATGTACTAAGCATCCTATTGACCCAGGAACTGTGAGGTCTCAGAAAGTGCCTGAGCCTAAGAAAAACTGGCTTTCTATTTATATTTTACTTTTTCATATCATTTTTATTTTTATGGTCCTGGGGATCAAACCCAGGGCCCTTCGTGTGCTTAGGTAAGTGTTCTACCACGGAACCATACCTCAGCCCTTATGTTTACTTTTAATTAGCTGCTATAATCTTCAATACTCTATTTTTTTCATTGAGAAAATATAAATAATGACACAACCTCTAAAAAGTTACAGGGATGCACTGAAAAATGAAATTCGAAAGTGTTTGGAGCCGCATATGCCCACAAAGATGCAAAACTTTATTCAGACATTACCTGTACATTCCACTCAAAGGCAAACAATCTGGCTTACAGGTGCCTCTTACTTCATCATATTAAAACTGCCCGGGAGCAGAAGGAGTCATTTCCAAGCCCTCAGCCATGTCCGGGCCTGCTCTGAGCAGACCCTGGTTGAGGCAGCTTCAGACCTCCTGCTGGCCTCCTGGCTATGGGCCACAGTGAGTTCACACATAGAGAGGCCTAGGTAGAAAGAGGCCTCTAGCCTCTAACTCTTCTTCTCGTGACTAAAACTGGGTCCTTCTTAGTGTTTCTGTTCAGAAGGCAAGAGAGCATGGGCTCAGCTGTCTGAAATGTGGATCAAAGTACCCACCGAGGGCAGTTGTTAGGGGGCCTACGCTGGCCTCGCACAAGCTGGCACCGTACAGGGATTATGAGGACCCGAACCACACACCCTATCTCTCCCCGACAGCTCCTAGATCCCCAAGGCAGATTAATTAAAGAAGCACAGTGACCTATAAAAATTAAAAATAAAAACCCAGAGAAAGGTCACACCTGAGCCTTCTGAAGAGGGCTCTGCCATGACCGGCCGTGAACTTGCGATTCACAGGGTGTCCTTAGCGACAGCATGAGAAGACAGGGACCTCCCTGACGTCTTTTTTGAAGAGGTCCCCTAGTCCCTGTGTAAGCACACACGCTTATTATCTTTGGCCACAGTCATTTTCTGTTAAATATCACAAGGTAGAATGAGGGAGATGGAAGATGAGATTTATTGGGAATAAACTTGTTAAACTGATTTTATTGCGAAAACAAAAAGCCAGCAACAACCACCACAAACGTCTGTAACCCTCCATGCTTCTCCTTTCTAGGAATGTCCTGGACGGCAGGCTGAGTTGTTAGCCTGAATTCTCTCGCTCAGGCGGGACCTGCTTGGTGCTTTCCTTTGTGGAGATTACAGTTCTCTCTTCTCAACTAGACACTGTCGTTTGGTCTCTGGCCTGAGTTCTTAGTTATAACTTACTCTGTGGCTGAGGCCTTCCATGATTTGATAAAGAAACCAGGCTCATCTGTATAACTTAACAGGCTGCGGAAACAGGGGTTGCCCCTTTGGAGGAGAATCCCAAAAGGATCTGTTTTTTCTTTTGTCACAATTCTGATGGAGGAGATAAGAGCCGGGACCCGGGATGCCTGATGGGGATCAGAAAACCACCTTGTCTGGGAGAGCCATGGTATAATGAGACATTTTTCTTTCCATGGGGAATTTCTCCTTAGGATAAACCCATCACATCCAATCTTGCTGGAGGCCAGGCAGCTTTGAATAAGAATCTAGGTTTAAACCCTATGGAACTTCCTTAGAGAAAACAAGGAGGCCTGGTCTTGTGCAAGGAGAGGGTAAGGTGGAGCATAGGATGTTATCTTCTGCTCCAAATCAGATGTGACAGGGCACCAGAACGAGCAGCTTTTACTGGCCAATCTCAGGGGATGCGAGACACAACAATATAATGAAGGTTTGTTGGTGTGGTGGATAATAACATATTATATTTAAAAGAGAAAGAGTGAGTCCCTAGTCTACATTAAACACAGCCGTGCAGGGGGCTTAAGGGGAACACTACTGTGGAAGGAATGACCCAACTAGGAAACATCGTGATTCTGCAGCTACAGTCTGCTCTGTTTGCGTAGCATCTGAATTTGTGATTCAACTCATCTGCAATTAAAATACTTGGAAACAATTTGCAGCTGTGCTGAGCTGCAGGTGGTTGTTTTTGTGTCATCCTTTCCTAAACAATAGAGTGGACTAGACGTACACAGCAACCACATTGTTAGGTACGGAAGGAATCCGGAGCCAGCACAGCGATGGGAGAGATGGCCATAGGTTGTGTGCAGACCTTTGCACAGAGGGCGCTTGAGCAGCTTGCAGGTTTTGGTACCCCGAGGGGATACTGGAGAACCACTGACTAATGTCTTAATTATAAAGCCAGGATGGGCAAGGAGTGTAAAAACTGCTGAGTAAACATTACTGGGGAATGAGTTCCTCAAGCTCTTGAAGTATCACCCTGCTTGCTAACTAATTACACACACACAGCATGGCCCTGGGGAAGTAAGTATATTATACTAGGCAAGCCATCAAATTTGGTATCAGTAACAATGAAAGAAACTGGCAGTCTAACTCTTTGATATGGTCATTGTACTGTGACACCATGAAGTTTTGATGATATAACCTATCCTTTTCAAAATATTTGGGGGGCTGGTGTGATGGCTCAGTGATTAAGAGCATTTGCTCCTCTTGCAGAGCATCTGGGTTCAGTTCTTAGTACCCACATGATGGCTCATAACTATCTGTGACTCCATTTCCAGAGGTTCTGATCTTCTCTTCCGGCCTCTGTATACATGGTGCACATATATACATGCAGGCAAAACACTCATAAATATAAAACATAAATATACCGTGAGAAATGTCTTTTGAAATAGAATCCAATCACACACCCCCAAAACAAAACAAAACCAAAGCAAAGACAAAAAAGCAGCTGGCCCCATTTTGGGTCCATCCTGTAGGACATACTCCTAGACAACTGGTCTAGACTTCATAGATGTCTTTATTATTCATGATGACAAGATGTGACGTGGGTGGGGGAATTAAAAGAGACCGAAGAGATTTGACAACTAAATGCTAGGTCTAATCGTTGATCATGTTACAGATCACAAAAAGGGAAGAAATTATTCTGAGGACAATTTTGAGCACATGAATAAGAACTCTTTACCGGACAGTGGTGCCTCAATGTTCGCTTGCAGATGTGGTACTGCAATAGTGTTTGCACTGCTAGAGACTCGTGCACAGAGCCATACTTACAGATAAAATGTCAAGGACACTCACAACACTTTCCAGAAAAGTTATCTTTAAGTGGTAGCTATGCAAGTAGGCAAAACAAAATGTTAACAACTAAGGAATCTGGGTGAAAGAAAGATAGGCAGTCATTGCGTTCCCTTTCAGTTTTCCATGAGTTTGTTTTCAAAATAAAAACCTGGCTCGAAGAAATAACAAAGACAGGAGAAGCCGGCCGTAATGGCTTGGAGGGAGCTGGTTGCCTTTCTACTGTGAAGCTACACTCCAGGAGTTTTGCGAGGGAGAGAGAGAGTCAGAATTTATTATCTGTAAGACTTCCATGACGCTAGAAAGTTGAGCTGAATGGTGAAGCAATGAATTGAACAAAAATTCAAAATAATCTAAACTAAAGCTGTGACTCGCTCTGTCTCTCCCGATGGAAGAATGTTTTAGATATGGGGTTCATTTGGCCCACCTGAAGGACTAGTTTTTTTTTTCTTTAAATAACCCAACTTAATAAATGTGATTCACTTTATGTGAAGTGGGGTTGGATTTGCAGACAGCTATGACGCAGCTATAGAGGAGCAACTGCTGCATTAATCCAGGTTTGACTTTGCAGTGATTTATCATGTAAGAGTGCTTTCATAATTCTTGATTTTAGAATGAATGTTTCCTATATTTCTGAGGTGAGGGGGGCTAGAAGCAAAAACTAAAAAGCAGCTGAAAGCCTGCACTTCATCCTGGTGCCACCTCGGATGCCTGTATCCTGTCTTCAGCGTGGGACCATACCTAAGATGATGAAGGATTCTCTCCATCTGGGCAGCGATAAAGACTTAACGCCGTGAGCATAGCTTCCTCTGTACCCGGACTGCCCAGCAACTTTCCGAACGAGTATTTTGCCTCCTGAGTTATCCAGCACACCGCTATGAAAAGAAAAAAAAAATCTTACACAGAAGAAGGTACAGAAATACTGGCTGTTAACAGCACAGTAGCCAGTCTCTGTCTTTGCCCCCACGCACGAAAGGTTAAGGGAAAGTTTGCATCAGCTTGCAGCCCAATCCCCAAGACGGTGTTTCCACGCCTGGCCTGGGCACCTGGTCTCAGGTTAAATGTCCTCATCCTCTTGGCTCTTACGATGCAATTCTCTTGTCCCCTAGCTTTCCCAATCTTGCTCTTTGGTTGTGTATTTTCAGTCTTGTCTTCTTAAATTTTTCTTTTAATTAATTAATTACTTTATTTTTTTCTTTTTAGACAGGGTTTTGCTAGGTAAATCTGGCTTACTGTGCAGACCAGATTAACCTCAAACTCAGAAATCTGCCTGCTTCTGCCTCCTGAGTGCTGAGATTAAAGGTCTGTGTTTATATACTTAGCCCTTCCCCTGCCCTGCTCCCTAGTTTTTAATCCTATGGAGCTTCCTTAGAGAGAGACTCTCCGTTTGTGGAAAACAAAGCTAACAGCATCTCAAATTCCCTTAAGAATTCATCCTCCCAATGGGTGGTGGTGACACCTCTTTCTGAAAAGTTTTCTATTCTCTCAGACATTTGTCCAAGGAACCCACTCCCTGCTTCCTTCTCTCCCTCTCTCCCCCCTCCTTTCTTCTCTCTTTCTCTCCCTCCCTCCTTCCTTTCTCTGCTTCTTTGGAGACAAGGTTTCCCTGTGTGTCCCAGGCTAGCCTCAAAGTTCACTGTGTAGACCAAGTTGGCCTTAAAGTCCCAACCTTCTTGCATCACACCCCCTGCCCCTCATGCCTGGCTTTCTAGTGACTTTCTGTATTCTTATTGAGTCTGTATTTGCAGGTCTCACTTTGTCGCTCAGGTTGCCTTTGGGCTCCTGAACTCAAGTAATTCACCTGCCGCAGACTCCCGAGGACTTGGGACTATGACAGGTGCTACCACATCAAGCTTCCCCCTTGTTCTTTGAAGTAAGACTTTGTGCCGGACCATTTCTCATTTGACTTTGACATATCCCAGAATGAGTTCAGTCACTTGAAGGAGCAGGATAAAATTATTAATGGTACATGGTTCTTTGAGGGAAAACAGGAGGAAGAAGGAGAAGAGGAGAAAGAGGGGAGGAAGGAGGTAGAAAGAGGGAAAAATGAGGATAAAGAAGGAAAGTAACAGATCTCCCAAGGCTGATAATTGTTCCTTGATTTGTAGGATTTTTGCCAGGTTTTATGCCCTGATGTGTAGGGACTGACATAGCCATCTGCGAGGCAGGAGGCCCACCTCAGGTCCTAAGCAGCACCTTGTTCTGGAGTCTACCATGGCTTCTCGGGTATCTGCAAGTTATGGCATGAATCAAAAGTACCAGGATTTGCTCCCATCAACACAGACCCTTCCCTCCAGGGGTAAGGTTGCCATTTCCAGCCCTCCCCACTCCACAGTGACTCAACAACTTTCAACACTCCAGTTCCCTGTGGCCATGAAGAAGGTGATAATAGGACTTGACATGTAAAACACTTAATGGCTCTAAAATCATCTCACACTTGTCTCACCACCCTTCCCAGCAAACTTCAGAGTCCTGGGGCGGAGGGAACCCTGTTATTTCCTGTTCCCTAGAAGCAGGCTGCTCCAATGAATGAGTCACTCAAGGTTTTGTAACCAGCGCATTGCAAGAGGGATTTGAATGCGGGCCGGTCTCGCTGATCTCAAACTCTAAGTTTGTCCCTGTTGGTTGTGGTACTTCTTAGGGTTCAGGAGCACAGACACCTCCCCTTCTAATTCCTTGTCACTTCCTGTAGCCTTTACTGCTCCACCATGGAGTCTGGCTAGCCTCTGCTTGCTGACGCTCTCGCCATCCCATTCACATGGCTTACATTGTGCTGCCGCCTTCTCTGGGTCCCCTCATTGCCCATGCCCTTCCTCACGCCTGCTGCCATCTTGCTTCTGCTGCCATCTTAGACTTTTGTGCTCATAACATACTTGGTGATTTACCATCACCTCTAAAGATTTCTGGAATTAAGCTTGCTTCTTAAACAAGTGAAAAAAAATTTAGAAGCAAATTTACAAATTATCGTTATGTGTATAAAGATGTTTCGCGTGCATGTATGCATACCACATGCCTGCCTGCTGCCTACAGAGGCCAAAAGAGGGCATCAGAAACCCTGGGAACTGAAGTTACAGGTGTTTGTGAGCCACACACTCCCAACCCTTGTGTAGGTGCTGGGAATCAAGCTTGAGTCCTTTGGAAGAGCAGCAAGTGCTCTTAACCACTGAACTCTCTCTCTCCAGCCCCTGGGGAAAATTCTTGTGGGAAGGATAACATTTTACTTTTCTATGTAAGAAGACTTATCAGTGGTTTGGGGCAGGGAGCTCTTACACCAGCTCTGGGGAGCGAGTTGTTAAGCTTTTAGGATTTCATGACCCAGTTGACTTGACATTGAGGGTTTGAGACCAAACATCCTAAGAACAGGCTAGTGAGATTTGTCTGCTTTCTGATGCCTTACTGGAGAATGGGCTGTTAAACATTTACCACCAGATCACCAGACCTCAGCTCTGCACAGACATGTGCCTGGCTTTGACGTTCACCTCAGCTCTGCACAGTTGTGTGCTCGGCCTCGACATTCACCTCCTTCCTGACCCTGGTCCCCATGTCTGAGATAAACTGAGGGCCAGTTCCTCAGATAGGAGAGGGAGGGGAGACCACTGAATGAACTGTTGAGTGTCCCCTGTACTGAGGATAGGCACACACTCAGAAATCTTCAGAAAGAGGCCTTGCATGGGGAAGATGGTCTCCCCATTGCTGTGTCTCTCTTCACCTCTGCCCCTTTACACACATGGCTTAGAACCTGCTAGATGACTCAGTGGGTGAAGGTGCTTGCCAGCTGTGAGGGACTCTTCTTCCCTCCCCTCCCCTCCCCTCCCCTTCCCTTCCCTTCCCTTCCCTTCCCTNTCCCCTCCCCTCCCCTTCCCTTCCCTTCCCTTCCCTTCCCTTCCCTTCCCTTCCCTTCCCTTCCCTTCCCTTTCTTCCTCTCCCCTCCCCTCCCCTCCCTTCCCTTCCCTTCCTTCTTTTAAAAAAATAATTTATTTAACTTTATTTTATGTGCATTGGTGTAAAGGTATCATATCAGATCCCCTGAAACTGGAGTTAAAGAAAGGTGTGAGCTGTCATGTGGGTGCTGGAAAGTGAACCCAGAATCTCTGGAAGACTAGCCAGTGCTCTTAACCACTGAGCCATCTCTCCAGCCCCCTCTTCCTTCTTTCCTTCCTTCCCTCTTCTCTTCCTTCCCTTTCTCCCTCCCTTTCTTCCTTCCTCCCTCCTTCCCTCCCTCTGGTTCTCTCTCTCTCTCTCAAATCAAAGATTTGATTTGTGTTTCATGAGCCTTCTCTGTCCCCTTGGTGTGAATTAGCCTGTTGTGTCAGGGTGAAGTCACACTCCGCCAGTTGGATGAGATGCAGTCACAACCCAAGACAATGACTCCATAAAACACCGGAGCCACGTGGGCCCCGGTGTGTAGCTAGCCCGTTTTGGCTTCTGGTTCATCCTTTTTACAGTAGGAATTGACTTGCTGCGACACTGTCACTTAGTTTGTGTGTTCCCTTGCGTGGCACTGGTGTCATCGCTAACACCAGCCTAGCCTGATGACCCAAGATAGAACCCAGAGCCCATGTAAGAAAAAGCTGCATGAGGCAGTGTGCATTTGTAGTAGGACTTCTATGGAGAGACTGGAGGCAGAGACTGTAGAGGAGCCTTCAGAGTAGCTCATGGGCCATCTAGCCCAAATTATGAGGGATGGCAGAAACAAGAGAGACCCGTCTCAGTAAGGTGGAAGACAGAGCTCCCCCATATTGTCTCTGGGCTCCACGCACAGGGCATGCCATGTGTGCCTCCCCCATGAATGAATGAGTGAGTGAATGAATGAATAAACAAATAAATAAATGAAGGGTCCATTTGAGATGAGCCTGAGCCCAGATATGATGCTTCAATGTGACCAATATACCTTTGTTTTGAAAGAATAAAATAAGGCACTCTTGAGAAAATGGTTGTTCACGATCGGATGTATGAATATCAAATCCTTTAATCCAAGCTAACTTGGGTTTCTGAAGCCAGGTCTGTTCTTGGCTGCCTCCTGCTCTGCCTTTGGAAGGGAGACTCTGGCAGGGGAGGAACTGAGCTTCCACTGAGCACACTCCCTGAGTGGTATGTCTCAAATCTGGCTTCCTGAAAAACAGATTCTCTCTGTTTGTGGAAAACAAAGCTAATAGCACCTGAATTCCTGTTAGTCCCTGAAGACTTCTATTCATCCTCCCAATGGGTAGTGATACCTCAACTTTTGCTACTCTCTCAGACACGGGTCCAAGGAAACCGCAATGACTTTCGGTTGCTCACAAACAAGCTGCGAGTCTTGTTCTGATCACATCTGTATTCTTTTCACTGACTTCTTACGTCCTGCTCTGCACACTGGGCTTGCAGAGCCCTGCTCCTCCAAACATCCTTCTCGGTTTCCTCCTTAGGCACGTGTCCATTCCTCTTAAAGCCTTCTCTGACCATGACTCCTGCAGAGTATACATAGAACCTCCCTCACTCCACACGCTGGATGGTGCTGGGCCCTGTGGTTCTTATGAAAATGTGTGATCTGGAGCTCTGGGCTGGAAGTCAGGGACACAGGGACTCTGCTATTCTCTGTGCAGCTAGTTAGCAATGACATTAACTTCGCTGTGCCTAAGTTCCTCTTCTGACAAATGGGTGCTAGTGGTAGTCATGAATTGAAATGAAGCTAAAAGGAAAGAGGAGCGTGGAAAGGTTACTTGTCATTTAGATGACATCTTTGGTAAGGCCAAATTTACTATATGGTTCTGTTTTGCTTAAAAACAAACAAAAAGCAAAACAAAAAAAGATAAGGGTAAGAGGAAGCCAGAATGTGCAAAGAAAGAAAAAAAGAAAAAAAAAAGAAGAAAAAAGAAAAGAAAGAAAACAAAGTGAGGTATCAGCCATTCAGGATCACAGCTGGAAAACAAACAAAGAAACAAAAAAAAAATCACTTAAGACAGGCTCAGCTTCTGTAGCAAACGCCATTGTCTACACAGATACCACACTGTCTGTGCAGGTGTGGACCATAGAATACTATTGATGCTGGTGCTGTGTGATGGGTGTGCAAATGTATGTAAGAATGCACACAAGCATTCTTGTGTGTGTATCAGCATAGGATGCACAAAAAATGTGTGCAAAAATGAATATTATATGAAATATTGGGGAGCATGTACTTGTGTATTTGTGTACTGTGTAGATTCCTATATAAGCTTGTTTCCTGCATGAACTTGATTTCTAGAGGGATGCAAACTATTTTCATTACCTCTTCTTGAATTCAGTTAGCATTGCTTTTCTGGAATATTCTACAGCTTATCTTCTGTAGAGTGTTTGTAGTCCTGCTTCCACTGAAACCTTTTCCTTCCCTATTGCTACGTGCAAAGGATAAGTATATCTAATCTGGTCTCCTGGGAATTCTTAAACTGTATCTTATGTGCAGTGTTTTGTTGTTTGTTTTGTTTGCTTACTGCAAATTTCATAGTGGACTAACTAGCTGCCATCAGAGGAGATTTATAGATCATTCAGCAGAACAACCAATTAGTGTTTGTGCAAATCAAGAAAAGAAAAAAAGAAACCAGAAACTCGAAAGATTCAGACATTATCTAGCATCCAGGCCTTGCATCCAAGGCTGTGCTAGCAGCAGTGATGAGCAGCTGGGTGGGTCTGGCTTACAATCCCTTACTCTGACGCTTAAGAATACAGCCTTAGAAGATCCACGCAGGCTATATTCATCCGATGTCTTTTTGTGTGTTTTTGATTTTGAAGATAGGGTCTCATGTAGCTCAGGCTGGCCTTGGAGTCCATGCAACAGAAAATAATTTTGTCCTCCCCGATTCTCCTGCCTCATACTCCCAAATCTGAATTACAGGTGTGCACAGCCACACCTGGCCCTGTGGGGAATTGCTGTGACGAGTGTGGAAGTTAGGTTAGCTGTGCAAAGTGTTGGCCATGTGCAGGCTCACTTGATTGCCAGGGATATTAAACAAGCACACATTCCACTGTGTTTGGCTCTCGACGTAGGGAAAAAAGGTCTAAGGAGTCTGTGAAGATCAATTTGCCTTTCTTATTTAAGCTGTGACTGAGTTCAAAGCATGTCATGCCTCTCGTCGTCCCTCATTCCCAAAGTGACAACTGGACAAATGGAACCACCTGTCACCCTCCTCTGTCCCCGGTCCATCACCATAGCTCTGGTAGCTTCTCCCCCAAACTCCTGGTCATGCCCCCCATTTCTTTGCACATTGCAGTCAGGAGAAACTGTGTTATACAGGGTCAAGAGCTTTCTTTTCTTTGCCGTGGTCATGGAAGAATACAGTTCTTCCTTGCTCACCAAAGGGGGGGAATACAGTGTTCTATCTGCTTCTGTAGCTTGTCTCTATCATCCGCGTTCAATTCTCCCTTATCCCCTAATATTTAGCCCCCTTTCTCTTCTCTTTTCTGCATGTTATGTTGTATCCACATGTCCATATGTTATCGACAGGATTAAGAATATGTTTTTTTATTTTTGGTGGCGGATATATGCATAAAAATACACTTAGCCGTGACAGTATAGACTCTGATGTGACATTCTACAGCTTCAGTTCCAAATGACTGTCCTAACTGTCTACATGTTGACAGAATCATAAAGTTTTGGGGTCTGATTAATTATGGTGTGTGATTTTGTTTTCATTTGCAATTTTTTAAAAAATTATGAAATTTAAAATTAAAGAAAGGTGGGGGAATCCATCAAATTCTGGAAGAGCGCTGTGAAAGCAGACGCAGGACCATGCATGGCTTCTCAGACAAATTTCTAGACGGAATGCAGGAGGCACGGCCAGATTTGTACATTTTTGCGTGCTAATGACCGCAACCCTGCAGCAGAGGGCCACCGCTAGCTCTTTGATCACTGATGGTTGAGTAGGTCGCAGTCACTCACCTGTGAACCGCGGCGCCACACACGCTGGAGTAAGACGCGTAGACATCAGTACCGAAAACGTGGTATTTGGGGTCCTGGCATCCTGCTGGGCATTTCACCATGAACTCAGAATTGATGATCTTTCCAGCTTTGACATCACAGTTGATCTGCGGTACAGCTGGGAACACAAAATGAGGTAAAAATTACCCCCTTGCTGTGTCAGCTTCTATACGAGGTGACATGTTAGGTCATAAGTATTCGTTTACTTAATCTGTGAAAGTCTGAGTCTGAATTGACCCTGTATCCATCCCTTCCATATGATGAAGTAAAGGCATAGCGAGGATGTTCCTCAGACCAAAAGAACGGGGGCATTCGTTGTATTGAATTATGCTAAAAGAGAAAAATAATAAAGGCCAGCTCCTATTCTGGTTTGGACAACCAGTTAATTGAAAATAATTTGGAGAAAAGAGCCACCTTCAGCCATCAGAATGTGATCTGGAATCAGTGGAAGGAGGGAACTACTGGTTTTCTCGATGCCCTGTGATTTTCCCAGGAAGAAAAAACTCCTAAAAGAGGCAGGAAAGACATTCCGGGAGACAAACAAGAGGAGTGGGGGTTATAGAGCCAAAGGTAATGGAGACAAGGTGGCCTGGGCAGCCAAGAGGGAGAGAGAAGTAGCTAAGCTGGGCCAGACTCAGAGGATCTGGGAGCCATGTGGGCAGACATGGAAGGTGTTTGGACAGGTAAAGCTCTGGTCCTGGAGAATCTCCTTGGCCTAGACGTTGGCTTTCTATAGGACCCATCATTGCCTCCAGCAGAGTGCATCCATTCTGGTCTCCTGTGCCTTCCTCTTTGTCACAGCTATAGGAAGGCCTTGTGGACTGGAAAGATTACTTGAGAATACGCACAAAATGTTTTGCTGGTGATGTCTGAAAAAGGGTTGGATGCTTCTCTGAAAAGATTTTTTCCCTCAAAATAGAAAGATGCCCCCCCCTTAAGTCACAGCTTTGGAAATTGTGGGTTTATATAGGTCTGTGAGTTCAAGACCAGCCTGGTCTATACAGGGAGAACTTTTCTTTAAAAAAAAAAAAAGAAAAGAAAATGAAAGAGAGAAAGAACATGAAGTTGGATGGCAGTGGAGAAAGAATATGATAGAAATTTTATTTTGTTCTTGAGTGTCTGCGTGACTGCACTTGTCCATGTGTGTGTGTATGAACATATTCTCAGACGTCCGAGGAGGCAGGCGAAGGTACTGGATCCCTTGCAGGTGGAGTTCCAGGTGGTTAAAGCAGTATGAGGGCTGGGGACCAAACTCAGGTCCACAGGATGGAGCAGCAAGGGCTCGCAGAGGCCAACCCATCTCTCCAAGTCCCTATGCTACAAGTCTACAAGAAGCAGAGCTCTCCCTGTGGGTGACTACAGAGTTCAAATGTTGATCAACTTCGTGAAGTATTAAAGATTTCCTATAGTATCCGATATTTAGATAAGCTTTAATTCTTTCACTGTAAAAACAAACAAGCATATCCATCTCATTAACACAAACTTGCTTCTGTCATTAATAAACGATAATTTTATGATTATTGATAAGTATTTTATTTATGTATCTTTTTATACACCTGCACACTCAGGTGACAAAGATTTCACAACTGGGTTGTGAGTCGGAAGTTAAAGAACTGTGCTCTGAAGGTCTGCTGCCGTGGTGCGCACCTTTAATCCCAGCGTTCAGGAGGCAGAAGCATGCGATCTTCAGGACCAGCATGTTCTCCACAGCGGCTTCCATAGTACGACAAGGCTACATAGTGCGACAGTCACCACAAACAAACACACCTGCTCCAGGCGACTCTACCAGTAGGAATGCCTTCAGGTCTGGGTCCTGTTTTTAGAAGAGATTCCAAACGTGATTCTAAACCATACACACAGCCCAGTAGGGGCATGCTCACAATGCTGCTGGAAGACATTACATGGGAGTCAGGATTGACAGAAAAGGGCCGTTGAGGAGGAAGAACTCAGAGGGAAGGGGTCTTTTGTCTCTCCTAGCATTGCTGTTGTGAGCCCTGACACCCGAGGAGGGGGGCTGCACTGGGAAGATTAACTTGCCATAGAGGTAAATTTGCCAAGAACTTTCTAGGAACCATGTCACCCTGGTAGGAATGGGCCGTCCCAGGAGGCGAAGAAGGGGCCTTTGGTGGAAGCCTGCAGGCAGAGCAGTTGTAAGGGGTTTCTATCCTGGATAGGAGGTGGAAATTAAACCCCTCCCAGTGCTAAGAGCCTGTGATTACACTCCGAGATCCAGGAGCTCTGCCAGGCCACCCACCCTCTGAGTTACTGAGATGCTCTCAGAGTTGTTAATGCTTTCCAGCTGTACCCCAAAGCGCATGCTCCTCCCCCTCCTTAACCCTAGTGGAACGGAATGAGCAGTTACATTTCATTCAAGTTGGAGGGAGATCGGAAGTTGAACTCCTGCTCCCCCTTGAGCCCCCCTCCCGCCAGTTTTGCCACTCAGGGCTGGGCCAGCATGGCGCTCCTCCTGGGAGCCAGGGTTGAGCTTGATCACAGGCTTAAGCAATTTGTGGTCTACATTAAGAACGGCAGCTCCGTGCTTAAAACATTTAGTCGCATCCTCCCCATCGAAGTTCCTTCTTTTTAACCTTCTGTTCTTTTAGACTTTGATACGCAAGGCTGGGTCTACTATTTGGAGTCTTAGAGTATACATTTTTTTTTAAAGACAATTTGGGGACAGAAGATGCCACTGTTCTCTTTCCACCGATTAACTAGTTGCTTGGTCCCTGGGTCGAACTGGGGCCCTCAACTCCCATTTCCTCCACAGATTGCTCTTAATATTTCTCCTTTGGAAGGGGAGAATACAGCAGACTTCTGGGTCTTAGCTATCTGAAGGAAGAGACAGCAAACCCTGTGGATTAGGATTGTATTCTGACGATACTTTAGCATTCTGAGATTTTGGATCTCCTGGAAGGCTAACCAAATCTTTCGGAGTGGAATAAGTGAAGCCAGATCTGGAAATGTATTGAATGAATACTCAGGGTATTTAAATAGGGCATGCTGTAGGATTGTCTGTGAAATCCGTGCCTAGAAAGACAGATGGAAATGCCCCATGGGAGTATTTTGCCTCAAGTTAATCAATTTTTTCCTTTTTTCTTTGAGAAACATTTTTGGTGTTTCTCTCTCTCTCTCTCTCTCTCTCTCTCTCTCTCTCTCTCTCTCTCTCTCTCAACTTCAAGCACAATATATTGTCTGTCCCCAGACTGATTAGTGAAGTTGAGTGTCTGAAATAACTTTGTCCCAGGGGATGAAACAAATGAAGGGCAGACGCCCACACAACTTTGGAAAAACAAGGAAAGATGGCGAAAGATGGCTAAAGGTCACATCGTTGGTAAACTTAAACCGAAAATGAAGCCAGAGAAAGTGAACTAATTAAATTTTGCAGAGTAATTGCCAAGATCATTGGAAAGTGTAGTCAGTGCCCAGCGAGGAAAAAACAAGGCGTTTTATACTTTTCTGACAGCAGTTCTTTGAGTATGTGAAAATATATTTTTGTAAAATTTTATGGTATTTTCCCAGTTGCTTGTGAAGAGATTTGTTTTCTTGTAACAAATCTTATCTGTCTCTACTTGGCGACAGATGAAATGACTTCTCTTTGCTTTGTAAGTGGGCTTAACCTTCACGATACACCATTTACATTCATTTTTATACTTTCCTATTCTTAGTTTTGGATTTTATCCACAAAACACATGAAACAGGCGTCTTTAAAGAGAAGAATAAGCGAGGAAGCCCCGGCAGCATCCTGCTCAGGAGTGAGGGAACATCAGACATCAGGTGAAAGCTGTCTCTGTCGCTATCCCCAGGCACACACACATAAGTTCTAGAAAGATTTCTTCCCAAGAACATTCAAAGAAAGCAAGACAAAGCAGCTCCCATCCTGCTGCTGTGGGGGCGAAGGAAGCCATGGAGACACAGGGCAGAAGTCGCTGAAACCCGGGGCATCCCAAGATGCTTACCAAGCAGTTTGGGCCAGGCTATAAGCTCTGCTTTTGTCTTCACCTTTCCCCAGCTGCTAAGGCTACTTTTCTTCCTATAGCCACCACCACGTTCATACTATAGCATCTCGGTGGCAGCCGAGAAGTCCTTCCCAGGGAGCCTAGTACAGCCCCGGGGGAAAGAAGATGGCTTGCAAACCAAATGGATTGAGCAATCAGGTTCCTGTATATCACCCGTATTATCACAGATGTCCCATTTCAGAACAGAGAACTGATAGTCTGAGCCAATATGTTAATGTATGATTATGACTTTAAAGGAGGAAGCCAGGAATTGTGGCACACATCTGTAATCCCAACACTCAGAAGCGGAGAGAGGTAGATCACAGTGAGAGACCATACACAGAGACACCCTGTCTCAAAAGCAGAACAAAATAAAGCAAAAATCAAGAGAGAGAGAGAGAGAGAGAGAGAGAGACAGAGACAGAGACAGAGAGACAGAGAGACAGAGAGAGACAGAGAGAGAAAGATCTCCAAGTGTTCATGCTGTGTGGGCCTCCTGTCTGAACTAATAATGGCGGGTTTTGGCAGGCGTGATAACCAATAAGCCAGGTTTATGGCAGGTCAAATCAGACCGTACATAGACTTCTTATTTTACTGTTCATCTTTTCCGTGATCCCGGAAAAACCGCATTACTTCTGGGATGAAATTCCTTATTAATTAGGGAAGGCCTTTGTAAGCTCACTCCGTGGTGCTAATGAGGAAGAATTACCACATAGAAGAGCTCCTGTGTGAAAAGTTTTCATATTAGGCTTCATTTCATTGGGCTGCGGTATTCAACTAGTTTAAAATTTGTACTTTAAAGAAAATTACACGGAGAGTTATTAGTTTAATGAAATAAAAAGAACATCGATTTGAAGACAAGCGTGTCCTTCTTGGCCCTGACCTTCCATGAATAGGTCACGCACATTCTTTATTTGGGGTGATTTGAAAATTATTCTTTTTAATTTTCTTGAGCAGTTTTTTTTTTATTATATAGAGTTTGCTCAAAAATTATCATCAGTAGCTTTTTGCTGCCTTTAAGAAAAGTTTGAAGCTCATTGAGCCCTTGTCCCAATCCCTTCTAAAGGATTTCTGGGCTTCCCGATACTATATTTCACTTTTCTAAGTGTATGCCATCTTGAAA